GACAGTAATTTGACTTAGATTTTGCTCTTTCAGATATCTAATGAACTGTGCTAATTAAATATAACATCCAGTCATTACTAAATGAGCATGTTAAAAATTTTTCAGGCGTCCTGCTGAACTTTGTGGCTAAAATAAGACTTTAAAATAAGGGTTGTGATGATTCACCCTTAAGGAGAAGGAACCACCTAAGATTTTCTGCTATCATAGGCGGTTTCCTAATTTGTACTAGGGCAGCACTTGAATTTGTCACCCCTTGCAGATGCATGGCCTAAAAATTTAGAAATAAGAAGCCAGGAACACCACTACCTATGTGTTCCTTCAAGTCTTCTGCCCCCTCCTCATCCTCTCTTTTCCCTTCATAAACAAGAATCTGATCATTAGAATTCAAAGGCTCATTATGGCTGCTTCACACTGGATGGTTTCTATCGACAGAAGTATTTGCTTTGAGCCATGCAGTGTAGGTTCTTTAACTGCATTGCAGCTACTGTTTGGATTAAAAATAATTTCGGTGACTAATGGAAGGAGTGGAAGCTGCATTGTATCAAGTGTATGTTTATGTAAAATTCAAGCATGTGACTATGTTGCATAAACTCAAAAAATGACTGAGTTCTGACTGAGGAGGAATGCCTGATTTCTGTAATACTGTTCCTCTGTTCCTTTTTGCAGTTAAGTGTCTTAAGAACACGCCAGCTTTTTTTGCAGAGAGATTACATAAAGCAATGAAGGTAGGTGTCTGTGACAAGTTCTATAAACTTACAGTATAGGTTTCTTTTAAACCCCTTGTACAGCTCTTGGGAAGGAACTGTGCAGCTGAAGGGATTACATTTTTCAGTGGGCAGATGACTAACAGGATGCAGTCGTTATTATGAAAGGCTGGAAAAATCTAGCAAAGTTGATCCAACTTAACTGAGTGATGAATACAACCATACATAAAACAAAAATCTCCACTTGGTGAAATACAAATATGCTTAAAACTCTTTGAAATCGATACTTTTAAAGGAGGGAATTTAGCAGAAATAAATAACTAAGCCATTTAACTCACCAAATTTTCTTGATCCCTCTGTACCTCTGTCAATCCCCCTCTTTTTTTCGAGCTATTCTTGTGCAGAGAAATTCGTGTCCTACCACTAAGTTAAATCTATTAAACTTACAGTAAATGGTAGGCCAAACTCTGTTCAAGCTTGTTAAATCAGTGGGGGTTATGGTAGTAAATAGGCATTTAATTTTTTTACTAGTGCTGTATCATACACTTTTCAATACATGATGTTGCTGCTTTGTTTGTTTCAGGGAGCGGGAACAAAGGACAGGACACTGATCCGGATCATGGTGTCACGCAGTGAGGTTGACCTGCTGGACATACGTGCAGAGTACAAGAGGATGTATGGCAAATCCCTCTACGCAGATATCACTGTAAGACTTGGACACCTTACCTTCCCTGCCATCACAGCCTTGTGCTGGAAAAACACTGCTCTTGAGCTGAACAGCTGTTACCTGCACTGAGTGTAGCTGGATGTGTTGGATTGCTGCATTTGCCAGGAGAACGGGGGCTGAGGGCCAGAGGATTGAGAGCACCTGGTTATGCTTGGGGGCTAGGTGAACTAGAGATGGAGAGGAAGGTAACAGCCAAGGAAGGAAAGGGAAGTTGGTCCAGAGGGGTTTCTGAGACCCCTCTCTCCCAATCTCCTTATATGATCTTGTGGGAGCCACTTAGTCCTCCAGTTGAGTAACAGCGGTGCTCTTCTTCCTTTGTATGTTGGAAGAATATAAAGCTTCTAAAAATCTTCTAAAGGATTCCCTTCTCTTTCTCTTGAAAGCACGAGATTTTGCATATAGACTAAACCTCAGATTCTTTAGCAGTTGATCCACTCTCCTACTGCTATTAAGAGCTGTAGCAACAGCAAAGAGGATGCCTGGCCCATGGCAGGATAATAAGAGCTGGAGGAGAGTGAGTGATGTCACTTTAATTTACCTTGTAATGAGGATGCCAAACCTGTTAAGCCCCTGTTTATTCCTTCTGTTGTGGACACTGAGGGTTTGTAATTTGGTGGTCTTTGGAAAGAATCCTGTAGACATTCTGGAGGTTAGCATGTGCCAAATGTTTCTTCTACAGTAGTTACATGCCCTGTAACCACCAATGTATGAGTAAAAAGGAGTGAGACATTGGTGGAAAAGCTCAGTACTGCTTCTTCTTCCCATTCCTCTTTTGATCTGGCATTATAATTTACCATTCAGAAGCAGAACAGGCCATATCTATTTAATGGACTGAACTTGGTCAAAACTCTGCTTCAGAAAATATGAGGTGTGCATGTCCACAGTTAGGTATATGTAAACTCTGCTGGTTATTTCTGTAAAAGTAGAGCCGAAAATGTCCCTGGAAGGAAAGTTCTTAGTTTTTCAGCTGTGGCTTCATCTCTTTTAGTTGTTCTTCAACTTTTCTTTTTCTGGGTTCATTTTTCAGGGTGATACTTCAGGAGACTACCGGAAAATCCTACTCAAGTTGTGTGGTGGAAATGACTAAATGGAGCATTGAGCTTTTCTTAAAAAAACCTGTTATTTTCATGTACTTGCTGCAGAGCATCTTTTTTTCTCCATAAGTAAATATGTAATTATCTGTTTCTTCTAAAGCAATTGCATTTCAAACTATAATATTGCACATATCTTCAGTTCAAAAGTAGTAGGTAATAAATGCCAAAACCCCCCAAAATACCAAGCTTATGTGCCATCTACTCAGGATTCTGTATAACACCCTCAGCAATCCATGGATGACAGGTCATTATTTCTTTTCTGCTTATATCATGCTGAAATAGTGTTTGTTTTATGAAACAAATAATCACAGTTGTATGATTTAAGGTGTTCTTTTGTATAAACATTGAGTGCCATTTTAATGCAAGTTTTATATCTATTGTATGCAGAGTTGGTTTCAGGCTAGCCCACTTCCTTATATGTGGAAATAGCAGCCTCGAGGTTTTGTGTCTAGTTAAGACTTGTTTTAAAGAAGTTTTGTCAAGTTCTGTTTTTTTACCTTGATTCTTTTCAAGGAAGATGTGTTCCACATTTCATTCTTGCTAAGACAGACTGTCCTAAGGCAGTAGTGATGTTGACAGAGTAAAGATTCTGTCATTAATGTTTAAAGGTTTTGGATTGTGCCTTAAATGTATGTATGTAAGAAGAGATTATGAAATTAAAGCTGTGTAAGTCTTTGCAGACTGTGCCTTTTAGTGTTCATATTGATGTGAGTGATGACTCAGTTTATGTAACTTAGTTTTTCCATAGAAGTTCTCTTCCACAGGATTGTTCAGAAATCGTTGTTTTGATAAGTGTTTGGGAGTTGCATGCTGTTGATGAGCAATTGTCTGTACATGATACATGTAATCTGTAGTTATTGCTCAGTATTTTCATTTTGCATGTTATAATTTCTTACTCTTGGAGCTCTCAATTTTTATTCCCTGCTGACATGGATGACCTCTTTTCTGCCTGTTGTTCTCAAAATGAAAACACATTAAGGTAAAATGTACAAAGCGGGGGAAAGGTTTTCTAACTAGGTCAGTGAAAATAGACTGCTCATTAATCAAGAATGTGCAAATTTCCCTTACTTCACACATATAAGTGTGCTCCCTCTGTTGTGTAAGGGTCAGGCAAGGTCAGGTAAGGTCTTTTTCCTAGAAGTTGTATTGCCATTCGTCTTGAAAGAAAAAGGCAATGACCTGGATTTAATTCTGGATTGCATTTGTCACCATGGCAGGGGAGGGGAATGTAGAGATTACAGAATATGGTAGCCATGTGCCAAATGATGGATTCTGACTGGGACTTGCTGACAGGACTCCCATTTTGGTCAGTGGCAGCAGTGTGTCCTGTGTCCAAAGGCAAACTCACTTCTGTCAGAGAATCTGAGCATGTCTTGAGAGGAATTTGCAACTGGAAGTCTGTCTTTGTCAGCTGAAACAAGCAGGATTTCACTTCTTTGCTAAGAGGAGAAGGAGGAAGCTTTTGAATTAAGGGAAGTTTGTTAGCTGTGCTTTAGTCCTGAACACCACTTGATCTTCTTTTCTTACTGACAATGCTGCATTTGAAAGGCAGTTTTGATAAAGCAAAGCTCCAGAAAGATTTAGAATGCAAAGTTTGAAACGGTCTGAAAGCAAGTACCTTTTATTATAAAGCACAGCAACACAGAAGACAAACTACAGCTCAGGATTGTTCACTCTGCACACATTCTGGAAACACAAGCTTATTAAATGATCAGAAGTGCAACTGTTTATGACAACCACACTGTTATATTCAGCTGTCTTCTGTCTTCACAGTGCTCAGCTGGTATCTGTAGAGAGAAGAGTTGATGTAATTATTTTTGGTTATGAGATCAGGATCAATCTTTGTGGATAAATCTCATTTAAAACATGAGTATTGCTACTCTAAAGTGGAGAACTGCCACTTTGATTCACAAAATCGTGGAAGGAAGGTCCAGTCTGTAATTCTTGAGCAATTTGGCAGTTGTAAGATTCGTCTGAGCGGTGTTTGCTATAGGTTTGCTGCAAATATGCTGATTTCCACTTTAAATTTACTGCAATGCTTTACTGGAATACCCCTTCCATTGCAGGGGAGTAACTTAATTGTTAACCTGTTAACTGCCCCTCACAGAAAACTGTAAACTTCAATGGATAACAAGGTTGGTGAGGACATTATCAGTCATGGTGACCAGATCCATACAGCCAACTGCAAGAACCAAAAATCAGCATAAACTGTACTCCTGTCTGCTTCAAGCCAACTTCCATCATGTAATTGCACTGTAGTGTGCCCAGGTACAGCTGCCTTAAATAAACAAACAGCCCAGCACTGATAAAACTGACTTCATAAATATGTCTGTGGATGCTTGTATCTGTATCTGGCCACAAGTGGTTTATTTTCCACCAAGAGTGTCTCACCTTGTTAAATGCACTATTGATATTTAAGCAAAGGATGAAGAGCACAGAGCATTTTAAGAAAAGGAGTAGAATAGATGGTCGTTTATCCAGAAGCATGTTTTTTGTGAGGGGCTTATGCATCAGTGTTATATTTTGGATATCAAAGTGGCGATACCTCCAATTTTTAAAGGATTTTGTTGCCTTCCCTTATTTTGTCACACATGAGGCTGAAGAATCACAGGATCTTAAATCTGAAAGGGATCTTGAGATAACTTCATCTGTTCTGCCTTTCTAAGTGAGTTGCTTCCTTTTCTCCCAGCCCTCTCTTTAGTGGTTGTTAAAATCTGATTTTCCAAACTGGACCCAGAACTGGGGTCCTAAGGCCCCCAGTTCTGAGGCCTTAGCTACCCTGAGCTGAATGAAGGAATTAGTTCACATCTTGAGAGAGAAAATATGGCATATTTAATAATAACACATGTAACCCTTTTTTTCAGCTTAGGTTATACCTGACCAGATACTCACCATCAAAAATATCTATAAGTGGAGTTCCTGGAACAGTGGGGATATTCAATGTTGTCTCACTGATGATGTTGAGGAGTGATTTGACTTCTGATTCTAGGTGCTCCACTGTTTTTATTACCTTCTAATGGAAACAAGGGAGACAAATGGAGAAAAGAGGTAGTCAAAGGGTCAAGTGGAAGGAATTGCACCAGATGCGTTTGCAGAAATGCAAACCTCATGTCCTATAGTGCCAACAGCTAATTTAGTCTATATTGCGCATTGCAGGTTTAAACATTTCTTGTGTTCTGCTGGCCTCTAGTGGCACCAAGTATTAGTGCTTGGTTCAGCAAGAGTTGTATTACAGCACCCCTGTATAAAGAGGAATTTGACTTCTTGGAGCTTTGCATTAGTTTGTTTTTAATTCTTTCTCATTTCTGAGAGAAATGCAATTTATTATATGCAATAAAAGAATCTGTATGGACGATGAGAGGAGCTGATGGGGTGGAAAGAAGAGGGCTGGAACTTGAGCAGAAGAGAGGTAATGTTGCTGTTTGAGAACCAGAGCATGGAGTTTGAGAACTACCCAGCTGAGAATAGTTAGCAGGTATCTTGTGAGTGCTTAAGACAGCAGTGGGGGGAAAAATCAAACTTTGCAGCTTTCCTAGAATCATAAGAGCTGATTTAGCTCTTAAGTGTCAGCAGAGGTCAGCAGAAACTACTCTACCAGTCTTGGAGTCACCTGCAGAACTCACATCTACCCATAAGCCAATATGAAACTACAAATACCGATTCTGAGATTTTTAGATTAAAGGCACAGTTATAAGCATTCTAGAAAAGGCTGATATATAATAAATTACTAATATTTTTTTGGAATTCGTCAAGATTATATATTTCTGGTGATAATGGCTTTATGGAAAACTCTGACATGTGAAAAAAATAGTTCAACCTTGACCAGAATAAAGTCAAGAAGGGGCACTGTCTAGAAAGATCCTTTTTCTTTGGTAGAAAGGATAGACAGAGGTCTGGTAAGGTTCAGGAGACACAATCCCTCTTTTACCTCTTCAACGATATCTAAACGTTCATGTAGCGTATGTTCATTACACCAGCTTCCTCCTTCCAAACTTCCAGGTGCCACACTCACAGGATCTGCAGCAGCTGGAAATACAGACACAGTTAATTAGCAGAGGGTTAGTAGCAGTCCTTGCCTTTCTGATTTCTGAAGTGGTATTTTACATTCTACACAGCATTGTTTACGAACCAAATGTAGGAATTGAACTTTTTTTCCAATAACTACAACTGTGCCCCAATGCTGTGAATGTGTCCTTGCCTGCACATGTCATGTTGGTTGGAACAAGGTGTTTTCTCTTGCCACAATTGTTTGTTTTGTTTTACATAATCTATTTTTCCTACCTGTGTAGGGTAAGTTCATAGGCTGTAACTCCGTCTCTCTTAAGTGTAGAACCTATCTGTTGGGAAGATCTGCCTTACACAACAGTTCCTCGTAGACTTTCTTCAGAAGCAGCTGCTGTGGTAAAGCTTTGAAGAGTAGCTAAGCTTGTCCACTTTCCAAATGGATGCTGTTGATTCCTCTGTGCCAGAGAGTTGTCCCTGCCCGTCTCATTTTGCAATGGGAAGGGAAACAATAAAAGTGTGTACATTTGCTGACTGATACGGTGCTATATACAAAGTCACGTATCTCTGTCAGTTATCTGTGTTTACCTCTCAGTACTCACGAGCTCTTGCTCTTTGAACTTTTCATTGTGCTGGCTGTGCTCCATGAAAGCTCAGTAGCTGCTGGTGTCCATGCTTTAGTGGAGCCTATTTCCTTTTCATAATTTCTGTGCAGCATTCAGTAACATTTGAATTTTCACATGTGTGCAGAGGACTATAGTGGAATATTCTAAACTGTGCTAAAATGGTAATATATCTTTCCGCATGTAAAGTTAGGTTTTACTCTTGTTTGATGCTTGAAGCAGCTATGATAATGAGGAAATAGCAGTAACTCATTCTGTCATTGTTTGATTGTAACAAAGACAAAACTGGCTTGTGTTATAATGAACAGTGAGACAGACAAAAGCAGTAACTAATTCTGTCTTCAGAATGCTGTGCCAGAGCAGTGGTTTGGAAACTGCTGCCGTGCTTCATCTCAAGCCTGTGCCAAGATTCTGCAGCGTAGGTGTCAGGTGATGGCAAACACGTGTCAGTAAGGATCATTGCAGTTTGGAGGGGTGAGAGATGTACTCTGAGTCGGAATGGCATCCTTGGAATTGGAGGGTGGAGGATGGAGAGGAGGAGGAGGGATTACAGTGTGACCTGATTACTGGGCATTATTTAGAAATTGATTTGGCAGAGATTTGGTTGGGGTTTTTTTTAGCGCAGTCACCAGAAGGTGGTGCTGTTAGGACAGAATCCCAAGGACTTCGTCTCCCTGCTTACAGCAGAGTGCTGAAATACAGCCGGTATTTCAACACCAGCTGCTTTGCAGTTGCCCTTTTTCCTCTCTTTGCTGCTAGTGGTGGTGGTTTATGAGTGTTGTTACTGTCTTAGTGGTCAAGTGAACCATGCAATTTCTCAAAATGTTTGCTTCTTTACATGCTTTTTTTCCCACCATGACTGGAACAGTGTGGAGATCCTGAAATTGTGCTGGCTGATTCTCTAGGCAGGTGTTCATAGGTGGGGAGGTTAGATATGATGGATGACTAACATTTGTTAAAAACACGTGTAAATATACCATGATAGGTATGAACAACCAATGTAAGGTTGTTGCATCTAGAGAATGAGACAAAGGGGTTGCTATGAGACACAGGACTCAGTAGCTCTTGGTTCCTTGGGGTGGTGGGTTCCTCTCTTGATATGGAGACAACTTTCCACCACTCAAAGTGCATTGCTTTAATGGACATACTGAAGGAGGACAAAGTGTCTCGTCCTAGTTTGACAGGGCTGTAAGATATCACTCAGAACCACAGAATTAGTGCAGTGCCAGAAAAAGCTGACAAACAGGCCAAGCCTAAGTGTCTCAGGAAGCACCTGACAGCTGATGTTAGCAAGGCTAAGGGTTAGTATAAGCAAAAGCGTGTCAAGTTGTAGATATCACAGTATGGAGCTGTGAGCTGTGAGAGGGCTGAGCGAGGAGAAGCCTTCTCAGGACCTGTGTGTCCGTGTCTGTTAGTGACTTTCACACCAGAACAGAGCTGCTAAGGCTCTTGTGATTGCCCCTTCACCATCACACCAGAGCAGGCTATTTCAGCTGCTGCTGGCTGGGCAGCCAGTGCTTTGTCAGTGTAGATTTCTTCTTTTCTCTGAGTACTGGTTTGAGGCTTTGGCTGCCCAAAACATTCATGGTTGCTCTGTTGTCTGGCTTTAGCTCTTAAGCCACAGCTTTATCTTGGGATGGGCTGTTCACAGGACACATCCGGTCCCTTGTAAATATGGCACATATCTGGGTCACTATGGTCAGGCAATTCAGCCAAAGCAGTAATTTCCACGTGCTCAAAGAGAGCACATGGAATGTTGCTTATGAGCACTGCTCTTCCCTATTGCAACTGGTGAAAGAAAGGGACACAATCTGCCTTTGGCACTGACCTTACTCCAGTGGCATCTCTACTTCATGTAATAGTAACAGTCACCGTGTAAAGGAAGTGAAGAGTGGAAGGCTGCAAACCATGTGAGCAAAAGACTAATGACCTTTTAGGATACTTCCAGGTACTTGCTTTCTGAAGTTACTGAAGAAACATTTTTTACATGTAAATTGAAATTTTTACTTTTATGTGTTTCAAAGCACATGCATAAATACAGACAACTTTGGTAGTAAGTTTTGAAGCTAACCACTTTTAAAAGTGAAGTGTTCTTTGTATGCCATATAAATTACATATTTAAAATGTGTGGGTGTCTGCAACTTTTGACAGCTTAGGCAAGTATGTAGGAGGCATATTTCAATGTCTTAGATCTCTTATTTGAAACTTAATAGATTATTTCACACAGACACTTGTAACATTTCAGTATGGCAGAGAGAACGTTACCTTTCAGTTAATGTCCCATATACAATTTTCCACCTGATATTTCTTGGAAGTGAGATGTTTAGCTAAATTCTTGAAATCCATTCTTTATGATATATAGGGTGGTTATTTTCCATTAAGAACCAGGATTCTCATGTTCAAGATAAGAAAACAACTGATGCCTTTTTTCCTCTGATTAAGTCCTCTGTGCTACATTGCTGGTGTCCATAAATCTGGGTAGTTCTAACCACACTGGGTTGTGATGCAGTCAGACACCAGCAGGGAAATGGAGCATCTCTGAACTGGTTGTTAATCAGTTCTGTTTAGTTGAAGAACGTGCTTAAAGTTTGAAAGAAGTAGCAGAATGAAGAGTAAAAGCTGTGTATCATGGTCAGCCTGACCGTACAAAACTTGATCTTATAGCAAGGGAGAGAAAGAGCAATGAAGTAAGAATTAAAACAGCCTTACTAAACAGGTTAAGAGCAGAGGCCTTAGATTAAGAGCATCCCTCAGTTAAGCTCTTCTGCCTCCTGTACATTTGATATATTCCCCAACCCACAAGATGTTGCTTCTCTGTGTGCTCCCTGACAAAGTTCCCTTCTAGGACCATCAGAGTTCTTTCTATCCAGGTGCTGTTAAATGGTTCATTTTGATCATCCATGTAGTTGCTAATGGTAAGCATCAGAATAAACCTGAGCCTCTCTGCTGTCATTTTCTGTGGTTACTAGGACTGCTAGAACTGAAGTATGTGACCACACAGATCCAGTAGGTCTTTTAAAGTATCCGTCCTAATGACATATTGCTGGTCCAAATAAAGTTACAGGCTTGATCTAGAAATTGCTGGGTTGGGTTCTTTGGTCTGCATTACAGAGAAGGTCAAGGTGAGTGATCACAATGTTCCCTTTTGTTCTTAAAACTTGTAAAATTATTTTGCCTCATTCTATGATCAGTGTGGTTTTGAAAGTTGACTGCAAGTTCTTGTTTGTGCTCAGTAGGGTGGGGGGATGAAACAAAGCAAGCCACAAGCCAAGTGAGAGACATGGGAGATTGAAACAGGAGCCAGATGGCAAATGAGGAGGTCTGAAAACATGTGATAGAGCAGGGGGAATAAAGGAGAACATGTCCAACTCTTCAAGAAAACATGCTGTGCTGTGTGTTTTTGTTTGCACTGCCTTAGGTTTAGTAGTATCATTTTATTCCTGGAGAATAGAGCATAAGGTGGCCAGATAGCCTTCGATGAGAAAAGGAATGGCAGTATTAATGATTTATGTTCCAACAGGAAAAAGTTCATGAACTGAAGGATCAAGTTCAAATGACGAATCCACTAACCAGATTGGGAGGAATGCAACAGACTTCTGAATGGATTTGCTCATCCGTGCTTAAATTATTTTGTCTCTAAATATAAGTTCTGGATTCCACTTTGAAATTTGCATGTAACTTTGAAATGCTAGCTCAAGAAATCACATGGTTTTCAAAAGTGGTTGGTGAAGATAACTTGCAGCAGAATTCAGGAAAGATTCAATTGCTTTGAACCTGAACTGATACTAATAACTTTCACTACTAGTGATTTCAGACCATAGACTATGTTAAGCTAAAACTTTTATTCATATTTAATTTTGGATGCTGTTCTTCAAGGCATCAAAATTAGTTTCCAGTAATGCCAGCTCTTAATTAATTACATTGGCATCCTTGAATATGGAAGTACTGAATTAACTGTGCCATTACCAGTTTCACTATCACTAGTGTGCCCAAATTCATTTAAAACTGTGATATATAACTCAAGCCATATAAAATGTTATTGTTAGGACATCAAAAATAATTGATTTGGATAGCAAGTGTTGTATTGAAAATGCTTTTTTAGGGCACAGATTTCCTTCAAGTTCTTAGCACTGGACATAGAGCATCTTTCTGTCTGTAATCCATAAAACACTAAGGCTTAGCTGTGATTAAGATACCTCTAAACCTCTTTTTAGAGTTTAGTCTCTATTTTCTTGAAGATAAGGGAATTCTTACCTTTAGTGATTGCAATAAAAACTGCAAGATTTGTAATAAATATATAAAATTCCTTAGTGACTTACACACTGCCATATGCTTCCCACTGGAGGCAACTGCATGTGTTTGCTTATATTTACATGGAAATACCTACATATACATGTAGATATATACAGATACATGTAAATATTTAAATATACACACATCTTTACTAGGCTCTAGCTTTTATGGCAGAACAACAAGGCAAATTTCATACAGGGTAAATATGATCTATCCAAAGTGGGAGATGAAAAGCAGGCATTGTATATTAAACAGTACACTGATAATATGGGAAGATCTGAAATTTAGGAGTTGTAGAAAGATTTTTTTTTTTTTTGTTTTGGTTTGTTTTTTATTTTTTGTTTGGTTTTTGGTTTTTTGGGGGGGTGCTTTTGTTTTTTGGTTTTTTTCTATTTCAAGAAGGTACATAGAAAGTTTTTGATACTTGATTAGGGATTAATCTGGAATCTATACATTCACTGGATACTTCAACTGCTGCCTAAATGTCAAGTCGTGGAAAGGTTTCAAACATGATACCAAATCCAACAGATTTCTCTGGTATCCAAGATTTACGATCCTCTGATAAGGGAAACATCCTGAAGTAAGTTTCTTCCATGAAATTAGTTATCTTTAATATTAATTTTAGAAGCTAAATAACTGTATCAGAAAGTCAAGTTCCAAAATTGCAGACCTGGTTCATACTCTATCAAGGTGTAGAATATGCTGCCATGAATATGATTTCAGATCTTATGCCAGTTAAGATTATATTTGTTTTAAATATATAATAAATACCTGAAAGAGAAGGAGCAAAGGGAGAATCTCATGGGCTGGGGAATGTATTAATGAAGGTGGGTCAGGTTCCAGCCTACAGGTTCTCACATCTCTGCCTGGTCTGTCCCATCCACGTGTGTGGGGGACTTTGTGTCATGGTGTATTCTAGTCTGACCACATTTTGAAATGTGCAAAACTAGAAATGGGACCTCATAGCAATTGTTCCTGACTAGATAGCATAAACTGCTTCATTTACAGGCAGCTGTTGCTTTGTGACCCATAGAATTCTCATTTCATAAGGGGATCCATCTCTCACTTGCCCGGCAGTGGAGACTGAGAGGGAGTGCACAAGGCCAGGGATAGTTTCTGCTTCCAGTGGGTGTTTTTATTTTTAAGGCACAGAAAAGTCTGGACCCCTGCCATGGCTATGTGCCAGAAGCAAAATTGCTGCTTGACAAACTACTTTCCTTTTTCTGCTATTTGGCCATATCTGTGACTGTAAGAAGCACTTAAGTTTTGTGTATTTTCATTCAAAGGAAAAAGGATAGCAATTAAATGTTCCTGTGAGGGAACTGTTGACTTGCTGACTTGTTTTCAGCATGCTGGTCTTCTGAGCAAGCAGCCAGAGAATATCCTCTGGCACTTGCTGCTGCAATGGAAAATGACTACAGGGAATTGGACTGATAAGAGACACGAGCTACGTAATTAGCAGGTATGTTACTCTAATTCATGCTGTATCTTACAGTGATGCTTGGGCTGCAGAAAAGTTTGCCTTTGTTATGTATTTGTTTTGTGTCAATATATCTTTGTTATGGAAACTAAGGCTAAATTCTAGCTAGAAGCTGTATAGGACATACTCGTGTGTAGAGAAGGGGAAGCTGTTTAGGAGGAAGAGGAGCTGTCTATATATATAGATTCTTTATATACATAAAGAATCCAAACTGTGCAGAATTAGTGAGCTTAAGGCTGGCTTGAAAGTGGAGGATGTGAGATACACAAATAATGGACAGCACCATCAATTTGAGAATAACCACTCTTATCAGGGGATAGATAAAGAGTTTCTCAATTTTCTGAGGACATGGCTTTTACTCTGTGTTTAGTAATAGAAACTATGGTCATGGGGAGTGGGTGAGGTGAGTCTGTGACTTATTAGTCAGCTCTGAGATTGTGTAGTTTTCATATGTATAAGTCATGCTAGTAGAAAGAAATAAGTACAATGAAATGTAATATAATATAATGTTAGGGTTTTTCTGATAATCTAGACAAATCTAAGAACTTGAAGATTTATTTTCTCTTGGCAGACAGTTCATGCATTCTGCAACAACTCAGGAAGTAGAATAGTGAGAGAAAGGGAGATACATATACATAATAGATATTGACATTCAGGCCCAGGACTTATATCTGTTTCAACCAGAGCAGATCAGCTGCATGTATGAATAGAGCCACATTCTGCAGATGAACAACAGGAGTCCTCTATTTTTCTAAACTCCTGATTTTTTGGGGGAGTTTGATACTAACTTTTGCTTTACACTTGAGAGTTACAAAGTCCACAATTTTCCTTTTAACTAAATTCCTTTTAACTAAACATAAGACAACATGAGGCTTTATGGATTTATAAAATCTCCTTATAAAAGGCTTCTGTACTGAACCCTGGTCTCCAGATGCCTCACAATCTTAAAAAACAGTTATTTCGGGGTACACTTTGTTGTGACAAACTTTATTTCTCCTTCCTTGTTAGAGCTCAGAGGTGGGTTCTGCAAAGACTGTAATCCTTGTTTTGGAGACAATAATGCTGATAGGTTTCTATAAGGACAGAAAATATCTATAACATGGAGTATAGGTTAAACCATTATTAATTTGTTAGTTGAGAAATATGAGTCCAAGTGTGGTCTAAAATAGGATAGCTATCATAAATTTTTACTGTGGCTTTAATTCTACAATTCAGTGGTTTAATCCCCTAGAGAAAAAACGCTCCTCAGTGATAATGCAAATGGTAAATTTTGGGCAGAATCTGGCTGTTCTGAAAGGATGTTTTTCTGCAGTTTCTAGATAATGGTCTAGCTTATAGATCTTCCCATCTTTGATATTGCATGTGAATATCAGAGCATTCAAAAGACCTTGATAATTCAAAAAATATTAGGTAAATGAAGAAAAACATTCACAGACTTGGCATACTTTAACTTGTAGTTAAAACCGGATGACACCTGTGCTGTTTAGAAGCAGATGAGGCCACGGTGTGGAGCAGCAGTGCCCGCAGTGGAAGCTGTCCCTGGTGGAACGCTGGTGTTTGGTTGCCCCATGAGCTAATGCCCCATGCCACAGGGGCAGCCTGCCTGCCAGGGACTTGTTTACCCAAGAGATCCTGGTCACCTCTCTGCCACACATAAACACGGAGCAAAATCTTTGCTGTTGGGGTGCCACACCCCTCGGAACGATTTGCCTGGATGTTTTTGTAAGAAAGGAAACACGTTTAAATGGGGCAGATATTGTGCTCCAGGCTACATTGTGTGCTGCGTTTGAGCAGCACCCTACAAATTAACCCAGCACCTGCAGCAAAGCACTATAAACTGTGCCAGCCTCTCCTCCTGAATGATTTGGAGGCTGAGCTCTTTGAATATGAGATTATTTATATTAATGGTTGAATTAAAACATAAATTCTAGTTTGGCTGAATAGTTTTTAGGAGGAACCCGTGGGAGTTAGGATGGGGGGATCTGTAAGGGAATTTGAACTTATGTTTCCCAACTCAAGAGTAGCAGAGGGAATGTGGCTTTTTAAAGCCTTCAGTCAGGCAGGGTGCTCCCCTGGCCATGACACAAAATTTCTCATTTTACATGATGTATACCATGGTTTGCTGAGTAGCTGCCACCTGGCATGATACTGGGTGCTAGTTTCCACTGCAGTAATTATTGAAGTGCTATTCTAATTAACTGGATTTTATCTGAGTTTTGAAATGATTTGAGGTTAAAGCCATACTTTTAAGGGAATAAACAAAGCCTTTTAAAATTTTCATTGATTTTTGCATTTATTTTGGTGAAGCTCACAAAACTCACAAGAGGATAGTGAATTCTTGTGGAGCGAAAACAAGTTAGAGTGTTCTTGCTGTTGCATTGATATTTCAGTTCATCACTGAGATAAACACCACAAAGACAGTTAAGTAGGAGGGAGTCAGAGCAAGGAAGAGTGACTAGAACTTGGGGGAAGAAGGGACTAACAGTATTTCAGGAAATGTTTTCAATGTGATAGATTTTTCTACCCTGCTGTGAAATACAACTGTTGGGTTGTCAAGAAATTAGGACTAGAGGGAAAATAAAGCTGAGCCTCAGCTAGCAGGAAAGATGTAGTGCAAACAGGCTGGGAAGCCAGGTTTGTGGTTACATAGGGACTGTAAACCCTTGAACTAGCCAAACTGAATAGCTTTCAGACACACTACAATGCGGCTACAGGTTATTCAGTGCTAATCTCTTATTAATCCAAGTAGAATTCAGATGCAGGCTTATCAGATGTTCTCTGTTTATACTTTGTTCTCCCAAGGCTTTTGTATGAGTCATTGTGTACCTCAAAATCTCAGGAATAAGCAATCCATAGCAGAAAAAATAAAACTGTGATGTTACCAGGAAATTTTAAAAGAAGGCTTTGAGTAAAGGAGACTCTTTCTCTAATCACCTTGGACTTCAATCTCATTTCCAAGTGGATTAGTGTGATATTAATACAGCTGCCAGAACAGTAATTATGGAAATTCAGAGCAATGTCTGCAGCACCTCAATGTGGTTCTAAATTTCTGAAGGTAGAGTGATACTATAAGAAGTGAAAAACTACCAAGGAAATATGCCTACAGGACAGATTTTAATGTCACAAAAATGGAGTTTTATCTCTTACAATCAATATGCACACAGAATTTTGAAGCATACCTGTGTCACCTTCACATAAAATCCAGAGAAATGAAGCAATTATTTGCCTCCCCCTCCCACCCCATGCAAAGGCTTTGACCATAGTAAGATTTACATGTTGAGAGTCGCTTACCTAAAGGATCTTGCTCCTGCAGGACTAGAACAAATGCCAGTGCCCAGAGGAGAAGCATGGTTCCAGCCTGCCCGGGCTGTGCCGTGGTTGTGCTGGAGAGCCCCGCAGCCTCCCTCCCTCCTTCCCTCCCTCCCAGCTTCCTATCGGCTCCTCATCCAGCCCCGAGTGCTGAGCTTTAGCCAGAGTTAGGCGGAAATATGCCCAGCCTGAGCCAAATTCTTAAGCTGTTCTCTTCTGCTTCCCTCCTTTTAAAAAAACACCCTTCCAGCTCCATGCACAGCCCAGCTACTCAGGCAAGCTGGAAGTGGCCCAGGCTCCCCAAAGTTTGGTTTTGGGGTTTTTTTATGCTCGTATTTATTTGCACAGATTACAATGGAATGCAATAAAAACCTTTGGATCCTGTAAATACAGCAAGTGGGGCAAGGAAAGGAAGGGAGAAAGGAGGAGGAAGGGGTGCTGGATGTTTATTTCCCTGTAAAGTTTCATCTGGGGCAGGCAAAGCAGGAGTATTGGAAAACACAGTATCTTTAGATCTTATGAGCTTATAGGACTTTTATCGTTATATTCTCTTTTTGAAGAGTGCAGAAACATCTTCCTTGGGCAATACAATGTGTGGCAGTCTTGTGGGAGGTGACAACTGTCTGTGGTGCTTTATGTTTGGACAGTATCATAGGATCTCCTGAGCAGCCATCTGAGCTCTTCCCAGTATTGGCAGGGTTTTAAAATTGGTTGGGCTTGGTAACACCACATGCAAAAATAGCACCATTCGTGGTAGCCTGGCAGCCTGTGTGGTTTTTAGCAGGATCTTGGTCGAACATTGTCCTACAGATTCCTGGGTGTTGACTGGATAAGCACCAGCCTGTGACCCCTCTAGGCTGGTGTGAAAATACTAAAGGTATCTCCTTTCTGGTATTGCTCCTCATACTCATTTGAGTTCTCTTTTTTCAAACTATTGCAAGAAAAGATGAGAGGCCAGTAAGGCATCCTACTTAACCCTAAAGGCCATTGTTCAGGATAGACAGTGTTTTAACCATTGAAAATAAACCCCTGCAAACTAGAGCAGATTTCCTTGGTCTTTACCACCCCTCTAGTAGCAAAAAAATCAAGTTATTTGAATATCTGGAAATGATCCTGTAGAGATGCTATCTTATAGATCAAAGTATAATCATCTTCAGCGATTTCCATAACAAGTTAGGTTGTAAGCTCAGTTGCAAAGCAAAATAGCCTCAGTAACAGAGATTCTGTGGCTGGAATTTAGCTGATATCTTTGAGGCATAAAACAACCTCAGTGTTTATTAAGCCCTCAGGGCTGAATAAGTTCAGGGTTGAATAAGTTAACATTTTTATGAAATAAAAATAAATTAGCTATGAAAATTGGAATGGCAGTGTTTTTCTGGGTATTTTGGCTTGAATGTAGCATACTGCAATTCTTAAGAATTCTTGTTTTGACAATAAATTTGATTATGCCTGCTGAAAACTTATATAAATCTTAATTTTCCTATTAACAGGTCCTGAGAGGGGAACTGCAAAAGGTAACAGTGACTGTTCCCTCAGTTTTACCCTTGTTTCAATATGAGATGCTCACGTGGTAGGCTGTGATTTTTGAAGTGAGACATTATCTCTGTGTTGTCTGTGCTTTGAAGAGAGGGGACTGGGGAGCAGAAGAAGAATATTTGTGAATAGTTGGCTGTTGTTTTTTGAATGAGTTTGTCCTTTGCCTCTATCCTTTTTTTGAGCAGAATCACCCAATGCATTCTCTGAATTGCAAAGGGAGCCTGTTCGTGGAGGATTTCTGCAAGCTCTCTCTGCCATCCTCTATGCCACACACTAAAAAGCAATGAACATTCATTAAAACCATTTTCCCTTCAACACACTGTAAAAAATATGGCAATTTCCATTCCAGACCACCTTTGCTGAAGCCACTCACCCCCTTTACAGCACATTTCCTCCTGAGTTGCTCTCAGGCTCTTGGAACAGTTCAGTCCCTCTGAGGCACTTGCTGCATATTTTTGCATACTGTGTTATGTTTGACTATAGTGAGGTGCTGGTCTGATAGCCATGGAGAACTAAACAAAATAGTGTGGGTTTTCTCTAGTATTATCCTCCAGGGCTTGTTTCTGTAATCAGAGAGTAGTTTTTTCCACTGCAGGGAAATGTAGCCAGAAGGAATATTTCTGCCAAGTGGGATTCTGCTTTTCAGTAGGACTACCTGTCCTGAGATTTTTGATCATCTTGGTTAATTACCTCAGATGACTTTTGTAATTTATAAATACTTGGAAGCTGCAGGGTAAGACAACTGGCAACTAAAGTACAAAAAATCTGAGGATGTGAAAATACCCATTAAATTGTAAAGCAGATTTTTCAGACGACAGAAGATGTGAGAGCAGAAAAAAGAACACAAATATGTTTGCATCATATTCTGAGAAGTTTGTAACTGATTACCATCAGAGAAAGCATTCTTTAGCACATTCATCTTGGAAATAGCCATATATGAGAACACAATGAGATCATATGAATGTAGGTTTGCACAAAATCCAGCTGTTGAGATGTTCCCAAGATACTGGCAGCCAAAAAAAGCATACCAGTGAGCAGGGATGTGAATTTATGCCAGCAGGCAGTTTGGTGAAAGGAAGAGCAAACATAAGGATTAAGTCTATTTTGGGAGGTGCTTTTTTGTTTGTTTTTGGTACAGTCTTTCTATATCTCTTTCTTAGTTTAGTAAAATGCTTGGCAAAAGCAATAAACTGCACAATGATCCCACAGGGTGCATAGGGAGCAGGAATGGACTAAATAAAGGATGTATGTTGACAGAGGACATATGTGCCATGTGAAAAAATCAGACTGTTATCGGGCATGAAATCCTGCAGCATGGGCTGACAAAGGATATAGCTGAGCTTACTCTTGGGAGAAACAGGACATTATGTGAAACACAGAGAAAATTAAGGAAAGATTACTTCAGGAGACAAAAATATGGTAGGAAACCAGTCCATGTAGGGAGAGGAAAGTGCCTTACCCTGAAGAGAAGGAAATGAAAGAGAATAATCACCACCCTGGATTTAACACTGGTGGATGATGAAATCAGTGCAAGGTTTGTGTAGTGTGCCTACGTGCTCCTGAGAGAAAATTTGTCTCCATTAGAGACTATGGAGGTACCTTAGGCTCTTGTCACAGGCTTAACTTCTGTCAGCTGCTCATGACCAGAAGTTCTTGCTACTTGGAGGCTGTTGAAAGCCTAGTGTGAATTGAGGCTTGTTACATGTTCCATTTGGAAGAGGCCACTTACTTTCACTCTCTTAATTAATTTGGTTTCTGACTGCTGAGTTGGAACAGCTGTTGAACAGATGCAGAAGCAGAATTTTATTACCTGCAGAGGATGATTTGTGCAGAGCAGGTATGCAGCTTTTGGGTTTCTTCTCAGGGAAGCAGAAGTTTGCTCTGCAACAGTTCTGTTTGGTGAGCAGATGAAGGGCCTCTTGCAGAGGTGGTTTCATTAGAATGAAGCAGACATTGGCATTTAAAGCTTTGGGCAGTAGTGATTCTCAGCACCCATCCCTGGCAGTCCCCATGGAGCCTCCATGCCTCTGTTGCTCATGGAGCAGTCTCTGTTGGAGTTACAGATCTTGCAGCCTTGAATGAGTGATCACCTTCATGTTCTGTGCCAGTGCAAGCCCCTCTCTGGGGTGTTGTATATCAGCTTGTACTCATGTTCATTATCTCGATTTGCAGGGGACATCAAAAAGTGTCAAATTATCGTGCAATTGTCATAGAGGCATAATCTGTGATGCAGTTAAAAAATCCATATCTCATGGCTCATAGTGTGAAGTGCTGTGAAGATCAGCTCTGTCTCTGCCCTCCCTAGAGAAGTTAATAAGAGTGTGTGTCATGGAACAGGCAACTCTGATCCAGCCTTCTTCAAAACAATCCATTTTGTGCTACGCCTAAAGCCAGCAGTGAGTCAGCTACAGGAATTGACTCTCTGGTGTCATCTCGGTGCCAGCACACCGGGCTGGATTCTGTTTGCCAGCATTAGGTAAGCATCCCATGGCTTCAGGCTGTTTTCAGTCTGTGGCCTCAGCTTCCTGAGCAATGATCCGCAAGGAAACTGAATCAGAAGTCTGAAAGGAAAGGTGGGTCACATGGAATATTAGTGAATTATGTTTGTTTCGTATTTTTAACTAGTTGCTATGTCCTTTCATTTCAGGCATTTTATGAAGCCTTCCATGCCTCACGAGCCCTATGAAATATGATAGGAGTGTGCCCACCCATTTTAGTGAAAACAAACCTTTGTCCTTAGAAAGTTGGATTAGCTATATTCCCAGCTAAATCAGTGATTCAGGAATAGATTCTTGACTCTCAGTCTTGTATTGCACACGTGGTGATCTGATATTTGCTGTATTTTCTGTTGCAGTAGGCTGTGGCCCTTTGCTGTTGTAACTATACATGCACCCATATGTGTCACATAAAAATGGGAAATAGGTCTGTAAGTCTATGGTGGATAATATTCAGGGAAAATAATATGGGGGAAGTACTTGATTATCCCCAAATTAGAATTACTCAGCTAGTGTCCTTAGCAGATCAGTACTGCAAGCCACACCAATTAAATGAAGTAATTATTTGAAATTGAAGCCACAATTTTGCTCCATGAAGGATCTGAGTTCATGTGTTGAGTAGCACCTTGCTGAACACGATTCATGACAAACAGCAGTACAGCAAAGGTCTGTTACCTAACAACTGTGGACCTTTCTCCATTAGGGAAGGCATCAGCCATGTATGTGAATGAAGCCTTTGCATATAGGTAATGTTTGCCATGTGAGTGGAAATACCTAACGAAAAAGAGAAACAGCTGGAAATAAATACCATTTTTGTTTGCTACTCAGCGTGGTCTCCTTTGCTCTTAATTACCACAAGGTCATGGAGACTTGCAAGGGGAAGAATGATGTGCCAGAGAAAGAAGCCAAACTAATCACTCCACTGCTATTTCTCTGAAAATTTACAGTATGTGTATAATTTTAAAGCCAACCCAGTAAAGATCCCTGGTTAAAATTCCTTTTAAAATATGTGTGTGAGTGAATATACAATACTGTAGCAGGATGATAGAAGTTCCTTTGTTATTACAGATCCCTTACGTCTTTAGCTGCAATTTTTCTTCAAACATGTTTCCAATACATGTTTCCAGGCAGAG